CACTCTGCGTTGCTCCTCTTGTTTCCCATTGCCCTTGCCACGCAGGACGTGACAGAGCACCAAATGAAATAAATAGGGATATTTAAATGATGAAAGAATAATTTATAAAGAAGATGAGAGTGTGATCAAGTTGAGGTACCACAGCAGCAAAATGTCTTCAGATATAATCCTTAGTAACCCAATTTTTTTTTTTTACAAAATCACAATCATGGTTAGACATGGAAACAGCCAAAATGCCCATCAGTAGACGACTGGATTAAGAAACTGTGGTACATTTATACAAGGGAGTATTACTCAGCCATAAAGAACAATGAAGGGCTGGCTGAGTGGCTCAGTTGGTTAAGAGCTCGCTCAAGAGTTTGAGCTCAGAGCAACAGCGGTTCAAGTCCAGCCCGAGCTGAGCAGCCGCTGAGCTGCCAACAGGTAGCAGGATGGCTCAGCTAAAAAAAAAAAAAAAAAAAAANAGCGGTTCAAGTCCAGCCCGAGCTGAGCAGCCGCTGAGCTGCCAACAGGTAGCAGGATGGCTCAGCTAAAAAAAAAAAAAAAAAAAAAAAGAACAATGAAATTTTACCATTTGCAACGATATGGGTGGACCTAGAGAATATTATGCTAAGTGAAATAAGTCAGTCAGAGAAAGACAACTACCGTATGATCTCACTTATATGTGGAATCTAAAGAACTGAATGAACGAGCAAAGCAAACAGAAATAGTCTCAGTGATATAGAAGAAAAACTGATGGTTGGGGGAGGGTTGGGAATGAGGAAGAAGGTGAGGGGATTAGAAAGCACAAATTGGTAACCACAAGATTGCCAAGGAAATATGAAAGACAGTTTGGGGAATATAATCAATAATGTTGTAAAGATTTTGTAGGGTATCCGATGGACACTTGTCTTATTAGGGAATCCACTTTATGGACGATGTAGATGCCTGACCACTGCGCTGTACACCTGAAGCTGAAGCAGAATGATAATATCAACTATAATTTAATATATATATATATATATATATATATATATATATATATGGTCACAGGATGTGGAGTACAGTATAGGGAATAGAGTCAATGGAACTGTAACAGCTATATACGATGTCAGAGGGGGAGGGAGGTTATCACTTTGTGAGGGGTGTAAATGTCTAGTACATTGTTTTGTACACCTGAAACTAATAATAAAAAAAGAATCCCAATCATAATAGCAACAGAAAAATGAAACACCACAGGATACACTTACCAGGAATGTGCAAGATCTTCATAATCAAAGTTAACAGAAGCCATAATGAAAGAGCTGAATAAAATGAAGGGGAGTTTTCTTACTCAATAGGAAGAATAAACATTGTAAAGATGGCAGTCTTCCTCAAACTGATACAGATTTAATGGAATTCAAATCAGAATTGCATGGTTTTCTTTTTAACTGCTACTGTTGGAACTTAATAAAGTTAATAAAACTTGATAGATAATAAAATTTAGCTATGAGGATAAATGTATAAAAACAGTTAAGTACGGCAACCAAAATTTTGAAAAGAAAAGTGAGGGGTGAATTGCTTTATGAAATAAGAAATTCTGAACAACAAACAAAATAGTGCTCCTAGAGCAGAAATAGGTGGCACTCCGGCTCTGCCTCACTCAAATAGCACCCCCCACCTAGGTGAAACAGCACTTCACCACGGCACTGAACAATATCTTCAGTGATGTTTCCTCTTCATTGCCACCTCCTCTTTCAAAAGTTATTTGTAGAAGATATTATAAACAAATTTAAAAGAAAAATGACAGGAAACGTTGGCAATTTATGGCAAAGGATTAATATCCACACTATACAAAAGGCTTCTTTTATATATAAACAGCCCAATATAAAAATGCACAAAATATAGGAGAGGTATTTAAAAAGGCCAGAAGTATGCACATCCATAGTTCTTTCTGAGGGTTTGAGACCTGGTAGTATATCTTATAGCTTTAAAATTTTTTTACAACTACATGCCCACTATTCAGAAAAAGAAGATAAAATATTTGGGCAAATATAAGTCATACTTGGGCAATTCATAGTCACATCCCTGGCCAATATAGGAAAGATGAAAAAAGGAAACAGCTCTAATGCTGCACTCATGTGTCCCAAATCAATCACTATATTCTTTATAAGTGTCCAGGTCACCAAAGACAAAGGCTGAGGAACTGTTCCAGATTGAGGGAGACTACGGAGACATGACAGTTTAATGTGATCTGGATTAGCTCTGACCAGATAAAGGATCTGGATTAGCTGTGACCAGATAAAGGACATTTGTGGCAAAATGTGAGGAAGATTTGTAGATTAAATCAATACTGTATCAGTGTAAGTTTCATCCCTTTGATAACCATATTTTGGATATGTAAAACAAGGACCTTGTTTTTAGGAAACACATACTAAAGTATTCAGAAATCAAACCAGTGGTTGCCTGGGAGGGGCAACGTGGACTGGAAGTGGGTGAGGACACTGTCTGGGGTGATAAAAACATTCTGCAGCTTCACTGGCGTGGTGGTTATGTTGGTGCAAAAATCTGTCAAAACTCAGTGAATTATAAACTTAAAATGTGTTACTTTAGGTAAATTATACCTTAAAAAAGCTGATTTAAAAACTTAGTGGGCCAGCCGAGTGGCGCATTGGTTAAGAGCTGGCTTGGGATGCCAGAGGGCCCCAGTTCAGATCCCACATATGAGGGCCAGCGACACTGCCCTCTACAGCTAAGATGCTGAACAACAGCTCAACCTGGAGCTGGGCTGCCATGAGTCACCAGCG